CACCATACAGAATAGAAATCCCAAGTACATGTCCTCATTAAATCAATCTGGAACTAGTATGCAGGAGAATCTCAATGTTTTTTATGTTCTTTAATGAATTCTCTAAACATTGTACACTGTCATGTCTGACTAGGAGTTATGAAGAGCCAAGATGAGTTTCATTATGTAACAGATTCTAAAGCCTATTAGATTTATGGTTGTTTGACAATCAAAAAGCTGTACATAGTGGTGTAAGACGTTTTCTCTACCACATATCAACGAGTGATTGGGTTACTCCTAACACATCATGTGGCGTGACTGAGTTCATAAGACTGAGAATTCTAACAATCCAGGCTTAATTCCTACTAGCACTGAAAGAATCTTTATCATCTTGTCCATATCTTTTCTAATGTGTACATTAAATTTCATTTCATTTTATAGAGATGACTTGCGTCTTTTCTCTGTGATGTATAATGTTAAAAAGCAAAGTGAGACAAGAAAGCACTACCTGATATATAAAGAAAATGTTCCTATCCAACTGCTCTTTAGATCTCCAGAATAAATATTTTCGTGCTATGGGAATCATTAATACACAAAGCATTTTGAGAGAGAGAAAGGATTATGTTATCATAAATTCTACATCTTACCAAAAGATCAAAAGCCTATAAAATTCATTCTTTAAACATGCTCTTCTGTTATGTTAATTAATTCATAACTTTCATAATTTGTACATTAGTGGAATAACCTTTTATGTGTATGATACTAAAAGGCAGACAAACTATACCCAATAGGAAAAAGTATTTCTTTACTTATCATGTTATCACATTTAAAATAAATATATACCATTCTTTAAGTAGGATATACTGCATTCATTTTAATAAACTTACTTAAAAAAAACAAGGACTTGGTCACAATAAAGCCATTAATCAAAGAATATTAACTGGACATATCAAATACAGGATCCATGCACAGCTGATGGGCAAGTACACGTTTAAATATCAAAGACTGATATGTGTGTCAATACACTTTAACCAATGGGAAACAGTATGAGCAGCCAATGATATCAATATTTAGTTGCAATGTTGATCCTACGAGGACAATCAAATGAAGTGACTTGTGGCAAGTGCCTAAAAAGGCTAACTATGGGCATATTGTAGAGCAAGATGTACTGTTTAACAATAACAGAGCAACTCTTCACAGAGAATGCATATTGAGCTGAGGTACAGAATATACGTACACCTATGACAGGGGCTACCTATCACCTATTGAGTACTTCCTAGATATTCACTCTGGCTGTAAATCCTAAAAAATTCAGAACTCCTAGATGTAGAAATCAAATACCTCTTGCGAATACCTGCCTGCATCTTAAGACTCCTTCTTCAGTAAAAAGAACTGGCAAACAACAAAACGAATACAGAGAGATAAAAATGTTGGCATCACATGTGTTGCTTCATCCTACCTGACTCTGTGCTGTCTTTCCTTACCTGATTCCTGTACGTGTGATAATGCTCTTGTTGTGACTATGTACCTAATTTCTAATTGCTGTGTACTAAATGATATAATATTGCTAATGTAACCCCATATATTAACATCATCACCATTATCATCCATCCATTATTATGGAACCTGTAAATAGTATAACCTTGACACTAGAAAATGTTGGTAAAAAAATAACTTCTGCTTTGCATCTAAACCACTGGTTCTTAATCTTCTCATCAACATGCATTTCTGGGAGATGGCCCTTGCCTCCCCTCCCCCACCATTATCATTTTCAAATATATCGTAAAAATCCTTCAAATATCAAAAAACCAAAAGGCTTAAATAACGCGCATTTTTATACTTTCATTGAGCAAAGCATTCTACAAAAGCAACACATATATACAGCAGAGTATTCCAAGAATAAGCAGAAAATTTCCTATTTTCCCTCTGCTAGCACCCCAAAGAAGCTTTGATGAGGAAAGAAATATTTGAATTAAACAAGTTGGGAAGTAACAATAGGAAAAAAAGGTAAAGTGACAATTGGAAGACAAACAAAAGTATTATATTGTACATAATTTTGGAGAAAAAAATTATCAAAACCCAAATATTAAACAAACTGCCTCGCTAAAATGGGTTACCCTCTCACTTTTTTTCAATTCCTTTGCATCCACCTATATCACAGCAATACCAGAGGTATGATAAGAGGCCCTGGGAGGTTAGGATTTAATGAGTTAAGAGACTGGAAAACATAAACTTACCTTTTCCGCCAAATGCATCCTACTTAATAATTGAGCTGAGGTAAATCGTCACAAATACATAAAACTTGGGTAGGAAAACAAAAAGAAACAAGCAATGATGACATACTTACGTACAGGTAATACAGTTCAAAACTACATACAAATAGCTATAACAAGGGTTTATGTTCAATATGCATTTGAAAACTATGGTTACGGTTTCCAACTGAATTTATATTAGGATACAATATGACCACCATGAAGCATTATTATCATCTTACTGAACAAGACTTTGCATCAACGTCTAAAGTTACAGGGTCATTTCATATCAAGGCACTATACTATTACCAATAAAGTCAGTAAGGTAACTGACTCAACACATTACATTAATAGCACTCAACAACAAATTCCAGAAAAAAACACTTTGCAGCAGGGCAATTTAATATTTGGCCAAAGAGACAACTTAAATTTTGAAAGATGAGCATCATTGTCTTCCTCTTAAAAGGAAAGACATGGGCATATATTTTCATCCACAATTTCCAATGTTCTTCCAGTACAAAGCTCTCTCTCTCTCTCTCTCTCTCTCTCTCTCTCTCTCTCTCTCTCTCTCTCTCTCTCTCTCTCTTCTCTCTCTCTCTCTCTCTCTCTCTCTCTCTCTCTCTCTCTCTCTCTCTCTCTCTCTCTCTCGCTCTCTCTCGCTCTCGCTCTCGCTCTCGCTCTCGCTCTCGCTCTCGCTCTCCTCTCGCTCTCCTCTCGCTCTCAGCTCGCTCTCGCTCTCGCTCTCGCTCTCGCTCTCTTCTCTCTCGCTCTCTTCGCTCTTCTCGCTCTCGCTCTCGCTCAATTTTTCAATTCTTACTTTCAAGACATAAGAGTTGCACATTTGTTTTTTTTTAATCAATTTTACGTTTAAGATTTATTTTCATCACATAAAAATTATAACTGCAAAGAGTTTTTATCTGCACATGCAGAATTTGGACTGAAGTATTTACTTTGGTTTTATAAAACTCAAAAAAAAAAATTATGATACAAGTCACAAAAATAGTAATAAGTAGAAGTCCAATTACTACTTTTAAAACAACCTGGAGGGAACAACAGAACAAATGCAAGGACAACAAAAGATGAAACATTACCTGACAGCCAAGTATCCCTTGATGCAAAGCTCGACGAACCAACGGAAAGGTGCTGCTTCTACTTTTCCGCCCATGATCATCACCATCTCTTGGGTCAACTTGATGTCCGGTTCAAATCCAAGATTGCCACCGGGTGAACTTTCGAACATGAAGCCAAAATCTGGAAGAATTCAATCCAAGGGATATCTTTTGTATCCTAAAGAAATTTGGTTTTGTGGATACACACTGGGTAATCTTATACATAGATACTTCATATATTTCTACTTCTAATACCACCTTGTCAACAACACATGAAAAGGTGACAAATGTATACAAAGAAAATAAAGAGAGAAAGGAAAACAAATCAAAAAGCTGTTGAGAAAGACCTGAACTTACCAATATGAATGATGTGTCCTGCAGTATCCAACATGATATTGCCATTATGCCTGTCCTTGATCTGCAACAAGAAGCCCACCAGGGAATACGCTGCCATGGACTTTACAAAGTTGGACCGTGCTTGTTGGAAAGCGTGAGAATTTTCGTCCCCATATACACTGATGAAATACTCGTACATCCCAGTGTCTGTACTTCGGCCCAGCTGGTCCCGAGACTTAGCATTGGGAACACACTCAATCACACCACACTGAAACATACAGAATAAATTTCTCACAGATCATTATATATTTGAATCAACACACACTGTAGTAATAAAATGAAAATTCTTTACAATGTATATCCATAAGAAAATCTACGTAATAACACAGACAGAAAACAAAAAGAACAGAGTAACACTCCAATTTATTCCTAGGCATCAGACCATCATTAACTTTTACCCTATTTCCATCATTCTTACCCCAGGGGAGGTGGCCACGACACGGTATGGGAAGAGGAACAAGTCCAGTCCCACTGTCTGGAAGATGTTCTTGAAAATGGAGATTACCTGAAGAGCCAGCATGTCCTGTCGTACATCATCTCCCACCTATTAAATGTTTAAAGGTATAAGTTCCATCATCTTCAACAAAGCAGCAGAAAGTTTGGTTACATTTTTTTCAAGCTTTTAGATCCTTATGGTGTGTCCCCTTAATTCATGTTCATTTTACCTTAAAGATAGCAGCCTGCCAAACTTCAGGACCTATGTTTACGTCAACCTCCTGCCCAGAGCTGACGGCCATTCCTTGCTTCTCCAGCTCTTTGATACCACAACGGCGCACCTTGAACCTTGCCAAATATGGAGCTTTGGCAGCACTGAAAAGGCAGAATGATTTAAGATAAATTTGCCAAATTAGTAATCACTGTTACTTAATCCACGGTTTACTTCAGTATTTCTTCTCCAGCTCTCATATACTGTGATTTAGAATACTTAGATCATCTTCCATAGACAATATATCTAGACCTTTCCACAGTATGCAATTAAAATGTGTCAAGAATATCATATACTATCATTCAAATCAAAACCAAAACAAAAACAAACAATGCACACAAAGACAGATATAAAAAACAAAGAATTCCAACTAGGAACCACAAGAAAGATGCATTTCCTAAGACATACTTTCTTTACAAACAAATAACAAATCATACCTCTGCATTGGCGTTCCACTGTTTCGATCAATGTCCAAGATAACCGATTCAGGATTTGAGGGCAGGTAGCATCCCGGCTCCACTTTGATTGCCTTGAGTGCCTCTAAGCATGCCTTCTTTCTCTCAATACCTGGGATGAAGGAAAAGAATATATTCCTATGTGCATCCACATGCACTGACACAGACATTCTTCCCACTCTCCCTTATTCCCTCTTTCTCTCCCTCTAACTCCCTGCAATGGAGTTTTCTTTTACACACACATCTGTTTAAGACGTGCCCAGACACACATTTCTGCATATGATAACTTTCCCTTACTCTCACCTTTTGGATATGGCTTGATGATTGCCGATATGTTAGTAACTTTCCCGAAGAAGTCAAACTCCCTCTCATAAAACTGCTTAGCCGTCCCTGCAAACTGGCTTATCAAGGACTTCTCCAAATTCTCAAACACTTCAAACAAATCCACTGAAAGAAAGAAAAACAATTACAATTTACTACTAAAGAATCTGCTATGTTTTAACTATCCATGGACTTCGTATCTTTGTATCTTATAGGGGGGAAATTATAAAATAAAAAGATTCTCTGCTTACCATCTTTCTCATGTCCTTCTTCATCCCTGAATTTGTTAGTTTGCATGTTCCAGATCAGCTGATGGCACAGCAGCTGAGATTTCTTGCCTGCATACTTTATGAACTCACCTACATAACCCATCTGGAAAATATATGTAAACAATTAGCTTTTCATTTAAATCAAAAAATAGTTTACAAGAACGACACAAAAGTAAATGATAATGAACTATGTTTAATTCTCTTCTAAACATAACAAATTATTACAGACACTCCTTAAAGCTACTCACAGTATCATATCTAAGTGACTGTGTCAGCTGTGGGATGTAGAATAGAATGGTATCTGCAGGATAATTGGACAACACTCTAACAGCATACTGGGCAGTTAGGGGGTGAGGTGGATACTGCCTTGAGAAATATGCCAGTGCCTTGACAGGTGGCACTGGAGCCCATGTCAACATGTAATTTAGCTGGAAGAGAAAATTTGAAAAGTGACTTGCATGGTACCAGTACCACAGATAAATATAATTCATAACTTTAGAGCAAAATTAAATTAACATTTATATATACACAGCATAAAACTTCTCTAAAGAATCTAAGCAAGAAGAAATGAAAATTTAAGAATTAACAAAAAGGAAATAATGAAAATAATAATACACAGTGAGTGGACCCGACAAGTAACTGATATAAAATAAAATTCAAATCAAAGAAAGAAAATAAACATCACACAAAAAGTTTTAAGTAAAAGACATAACTTTACTTTACCTCTGGGATGTCTGAAAGAATGTTTTCTGAAGTCGCCAAATACTGGAGAGCTTCCCCAAGGTGACTAACAGCTATGGGGTTTTCACGGACAAGGTTGCTGATCTCGGTATCTAGTCCTTGGACATTATGGATTCTGGGGGTAAAAATACTTTACTGTTATGCATCATTTCATACCTAAGCAATATGCTAACTGCTATTCCACTTTCCTTTCATCATCAACTGAAGAACTACATCATAAGAGTATTTCCTATCCTTCAAAGTAATATATACTTTAAGCATCAGCTTTATTATCAACTATCAAAGATATTGGTATTGTTCCAGTGATTAATACTTCTTTTTTTAATTAGGAAACAAACTTTTCAGAATACACCTTATTATCATCAAATATACTTTGCAACATACAATATCCATATATAATTACAAATATACAGGGGCAGAGAAACATTCATAATCAGAAAGATTTTTAAAATCCTACCTAGTAGACAAATAAACGGCTAGTGCTGGTGAAATGCTCCACGCAAGGTTTGTGTTTCCACTCCAGGCTTTCTGGCTGTTGAAACCACCAGACAACCACTTGACCAGGGCTTCTTCCTGTGGCGTTGTCACCTCTCCTCCTTGGCCAGTGGGTTGTGGTGGCTGCAGCCATACCTTCAGGGCCTGAATCTCCACTGCCTATTTGGATACACAAGGGTTACACAATCCTTCTTATAATGTAATATTTCACACAATAAATAATAAAGACTGTGTAAACCTCTGTAAATTTCTGCTTGAAAGTCAAATTAAAGAATTTCATTCTTATAATACCTGACCGATTAGGAACAACTCTTCAGCTTACCAGCAAGGAGAGGATAAGTGCCCTCTTCTTGAGATAGTCCTTCACGTAGACATCAGGATTAACCATTCTTTTGCTGCGATTTGATCTCTTGGAGAGTGTAGAAGTATTCGACGAGAGTGGGACAGTGTTGATCCACCCAGCATTATTAACAACAAACTCTCCTGATGTTGATCTCAGGTCTGAGGCCATGGATGGGGAGAGAGAAGCACCTCCTCCATACTGATAAGAGGTGAAGTCTGAAATCGGGGAAAGAATGATTCAAGAAACTGCAATGACACAAAAAGAATAGTAATAACAATATACATAAAAATAACTAATATTTTGCATATTCCTTCAGTTAATATTTGATGTCTATCTAACTGCTTTCCTTGAATAGTGCAAGACCCTATAGTCTTCTTAGAAAAAAAAAAAAAAAAAAAAAAAAAAAAAAGGAAGTGAAGAGAAGAAAACAGGCATTAAAAACGTGGAAAAAAAATGACTGACCTCCAATGACACTAGTCTTCAGATACTTCTTGTCAGCATGAAGAGCATTCCAGAAGTTTAGAAGAGCATTGATATCTTCCTGGAGGCAGGCTGGTCGTTGTGTGGGACATCCTCGGGCAGCACAGAAATAATCTAGGCAGGCACAGTAAATACGCTCTCGAAGAACGTTCTTGCTAAGGGACTTGGGAATAGTATCACCTGAAAAAATAAATAACAAGAAATACAGTACAACAACAATTAGATACTTCATACTTCAAATACTGAATTATTCACTATCTAGGTTTCTTCACCTTCCCAAGAAAAGTCTCTTAAATTAAGGCACCGTCCTAGCCTTTGCAAGTAAAAACCAATCACCTTAGGTTTAGCTTTATTCTTTTATATAGAACTAAAATCCTACTTCTATGGAATATATCTAATATATATTCAATAAATATTGTAATATCTCATATATTCCTATGCTTTGATGTCTTTTATGATCTTAAGATAAACATGCTGAGGACTTGTAATATACACAAACCCACTCCACAAAACCCTGACAGGTATCTGAAAGTAACAAGCAACACATCTACATACCTTGAATTAGGGCTAGTGCACATGAGAGCAGGCGAAAACGTGTGCCAATGGCTCCAATGTGGCGGTTTATCTTGGAATCTGGATTTCCAACAGTCATGTGCAGTGTCCTATGGAACATGCATGCAAACATGGCCACCTGGGCATCACTGTCGTATTTTGCAATTTCTATTCGCTCACTGATGAACTGTCAAAAGGAAGATGGATATACAGATTACATGCTTCTTTTCTGTTACATGTGTTGGTGCAGAAGAAATCATACATTAGGTAACCAATCTATTACAACACTGGCTTGAAAATATAACTGTACAGTATGACAAAACTACATCTATGAATAAGAAACCTAAAACGAGATACATTACCTTTATCCATATGTCATGTGGGCCAACCTGAGGCACCCTAGGCTCAAGATTACAGCCTTCGTAAGCTGCAAGTGGATTCACTTCATCTATTTGACGTGAGAACAGGCCCAAGCGTCGAGCAACACTTTCCTGGTAAAGTCAAATGATATATATTTGTATATTGTAACAGTATTAGGAATCATGTAAGACTGTTCCCAAGATTTTGTTTTTCAATAACAGAATATCATATATATAAATATATAGATATGTGTGTGTGTGTGTGTGTGTGTGTGTTTGTTGTGTGTGTGCGTGTTGTGTGTGTGCGTGCGTGTGCGTGTGCGTGTGTGTGCGTGTGTGTCTATATATACATATATACATATGTATATACATGTGTGTATGTGTATATATATATATATTATATATATATATGTATATATATATATATATATATATATATATATATATATATATATATATATATATATATATATATATATATATATATATATATATATATATATATATATATATATTCATATATACATATACACATTCTAATGTTGTCATCCATATCATAATTGTATGTAAAGCTGAATACATATTCATGGAACAATAAAAAGTACAAAACGTATATAAATAGAATCAAGTAACAAAATATTAAACTATGAAAGAAGAGTAAGAAACACTCGAAGCAAAGACTCCAATGAAGATGTCATCCTCACCTGCCAAGCTGTTATCATCTCCTGCATAAAGGGAAGTGTCATGTCATGGCGTGCTGAGAGTATCCACTGCCAGCAAGCCACGCTGTTTTCCATGGCATCTTCTGTGAACATGTCTAGGCACGCAGAGCAAATGTGACGAAGAAGCCTGCGGTTGATACCTTAAAAAAAATTAAAGATATATAAATAAAATTGGATTAAATCATAAAATAGGAATGAAAAATATTGCCTATTCATAAGCTATCACTAGTATCTGACTTAATTATAGCCACAATATTTTAAAGACTGACGACAAATCATATAACCACTGTTTTGTTAATACAAATCTGAATATAACATTATATCCACATATCCATAATATAATGTGCGTATACATACAAACAATATTTTGACAACCACACAGATTTTAACATCAAAGCATTAACAACCATACATATCACTGTATTTCATCCTTCCAAGATATCTAAAACCTTTACCTTCTGAGAAAATCATAAGCCCAGTTGCCCTCCAGAGTCCCTGTCTGAAGTCTACCTCCTTCTTCTTCTCACAAGCCACCTTGATGTCACCAAGGAGCTTGGCGATCAGCTGTTCTCGTTGAATCTCGTCTCTCACCATGAGAAGCAACCCTGATATCTCACCCTGATAGTGTGTTCTCAGGCTTAACGACTTCATGAAGGAGGAGGTGAGGTCTGTCACACCTTTGTTACGCTTGTCCATGGTTGCAGTCTTAGGAAATGAAAATCAAAATATATTACTTTCTATTTTTAAAAATCAAGCCTAGCCCCTTCCCCTCCATCTCTTCTTCATCTATATATCTATCTATCAGTCTAGTTATCCATCTATCTACCTATTTTTCTTAATCAATCTCTTTTACACTTTCTCTTTATTTCCTATTCCACTTAAGCAGCATAAAAAAGCTGTAGTTTCTTTATTGATACCTTTTTGACAGATTCTATTAGAGTACATTTTCATGGATTTCAAAATAATGTTGACCATAAACAAATATTACTTTTTATCACAGAAACAAAACTGGCACTTTCTGTTCTGTCTTTAAAACAAGTTGACCCTCAGTATAAAAATAATCAAAACTGTTTCTTGGTACAAAGTCGAAACATTAACAGTATCAATAAACACTGTTAGAGCCCCTAGTCAAGAATCAGGATTAGATTAAAGAATGTGGTGAACAAACCTCTTCACTCAGAACACTAACCAATGTAATTAAGCCTCAAAGACTTACGTGGCTCATGTGTGTAGGAGTCCCAAGACCCGCATATTGCATGACTGACTGAGTAGCCAGGGCCAAGCCAGAGTGCGATGTTAAATTGGACTGATCGATGTGTGTCTGGTAGTTCTGCAGGTGGGAGCGTGTTGCCTCTGGAGCCCATTTCATAGCCTCTTGAAGGATACCTTGGCAACGCGCTGCAAAGTCGCTCACAGTTCTCTGAAAATTTAATGGAAAAGTCAATGAACTAATCAGTAGTATTGTACAATTTGCTTTTTCGAAGATAATATAAAAAGTCAATGTGTAATACAAACACATTACAAAAATTAAATAAATTCAAAATGTCATGGATTCAAAGCTAATACTTATTTCCTATTCTATAGATTTTTCAAAAAGTGAGTTTGAATAGTACAGAAATAAATCCATCACTTTTGTAAATAGTGCCTCACCTCCCTGTACTCAAGTGTATCCATAAGCGTGATGCTAAAAGGTGTATCAGGAATAGGAATAGTTGGGTTAGCATCATTAGGGTCTAGCTGGAGAGAGTAGCCCAGCACCTGCAGAATGTCTAGGAGTGTCCGCAACACATTGCCATTCCACAGGAGCTGCGGGAACCTGTAGGACAAAGAGTTGTAATTTGTTTTTCAAAAAATATTATAAGGATGAGTAACAAATAAATTAAAGCTATGATATCAACATAAAGTCATACAGGAACAAATTCATACATTCATATGAATCAGCAGCTGAAGAAAATGCCTGGAAAACATTCACACACTGGGCTTGTGGGAAAAGCAAGACATATTGCCTACCTGTCAACAAGTTTTGACAGCAGCTTGTCAGCCACACGCCTGATTTGTGCCTGGGTATGGTTGAAGTGTGTCAGAAGAAACTGCGCATGGAGCACCAAGAGCTTTTCTTGCCTTTCATCTCGAGGCTGGTGACTCACTTGCTCAAGGAATATGTTGAATACTTTCTCACTCACTCTGAAATTATATTAATTGTTCTGGTGAGTTTTTCAACCAAAATAATCTTTTCTTACATTATACCCATTTCTTGCAACTTGTTCGCAAAAAACAAGCCAATAAAAATAAATAATAGAAAAAAAAATCTATTCCATACAATGTTCCATCTAACATAATATACTAGGAAAGTGTATCACCTGTTGATGCAAGTCCACATATCACATTTGTCGTTCTGGATGGCTGGGTCCAGCAGGTACTCAAACATTGGCATAAAACTTGTCTCCGTAGAGCTCCTTACTCTGTAGCAAAGATGTAATGAAATAATAGGTATTTAGACATTTATTGATTTAATTTTACTATAAAGTTTAGATATGAATAACTGACTACCTTTTATTTATGATCATGTTATTAAAACTTCAACACAACTAAACAAAATCATTTTTAAAACCTATCAACTTTGACTGACAAATATCTTAATCTTAAATATAATTTTCAATGCAAACTAACCTGAGAGCTTCTACTCGATATACAGACAGCACATAAATGCACTGGGCGAAAGATAACTTGTTGACAACTGGGGTGACATCTGTAGGATGCTCGAGGAGACTGAGGATTTGTTGTCGTAGTTCCCCTAATTCTCCCTGGAAGATCAAGGATATTTTTGTTTGTCTTTCCTCTTACACAGAATATAATGAAGACTAAATCAATTATACCTGTGTTCTGTATGAGGTTAAACCGATAAAACATTCTAATACGATAAATCAATGCAGAGGGCATATTAACACCAAAATCAATCAAATCCTCTGTTCAGTTTAAGGAAATATAGCAGTTAAGACATATTTAACATCTAGAAATTTCCCCTTTGACAACTCACCACTGACACTGACTCATCACGAACTGCGTAAGTATAATAGAGCTCTTTCATTTCTGAGCGATGCTGGGTTCGAGACAGTAGCTGAGGAGATGTGACGGCAATATCACACACAGCCATGTACCATTCAGCAGGCCATAACCCTGTAACAAACAGTATTTATTTATCCATAAAAAAAAAAAATAACAATAAATCTAATTTTGTGTTTGGATACTAAACACTATAAACACATTAATATCAAGAAAAAAGCGCTCTATCAAAGACCTACCTGATTCCTGCTGAGTGAAGCCCATCACAATGCAGAAAAGCCAGAAGTCTCGGAACAACTTCAGCAAACGAGGTTTTGGCTCTTTGATTGGCGGAAGACGGCGAACCAACACGGCAATCACGGGGATGAGCACACCAAGGTTCCCTGCACTACTTGATGCCTGTAGGATTAAATCAGTATTAAGAAATACCTGAATAATGAGAATTACTAAGATATGCAGTACTTTTATATACTAGGATACTTACTTAATATCAGGATAATTAGTACTTTGAAATTCGAATATGAAGGAGCAGAAGGGGAAAAAAAGCATGAACCAGGTACCAGATTTTTTTCTTTCTTTTTATGGGTTCACTGCTGAAGGTCACTACTAAAAAGACAAAGAGAGAGATACTGAGAGGAAAAGATAAGAGAAGGCAACTTAGCTAATGGAATAAAACGCAAATACAGACATAAAATGATTTCTAAAAATAAAACAGAAAAACTTGATTCTACTCTCATCAAACTATCTGTAATACCTTCAAGACTGCAGGATGCTTTTCTGAATTTTGTTTGGCTGCCAAACCCAGCTTCACAAATAGTTCTAGAAGTCGCATGACTAGCTTGTCCATTTCAGCTTCACCTTGAATATTTGCTGCAATATTTGCTAGAGCATTGTGGACTGCAGTAGCAACATGCCTGTAAAGTAAATTCATATAGGCCTCCAAAAAATTCTCAGTATGATTACATTAGTAAGCATAAAGTACAAAACAAAGCAACAAAAATCAATTATAAGCTGCTTGGCTAAAAAAGAAAGAAAGAAAAAAATAATTCCTAATAGTTGCATTGACTGACATAAAAAAGGCTTTGCAAAAAAAAGAAAAAAGAAAGAAAGAAAGAAAAATAAATATATATATATATATATATTCATACTACTTTCAATCCTGATGGAGCATTCATGAACAGAACTCCTCACCTATATTGTTTCATGCGCTGGTCTTGGCCTGCACCTACACCATACGTCCCGCTGCTTGCCTCTAGGATGATCTTACTAAACTGTTCCATGATCTCATCACACACTTTAGGCTGCAAGATAGTGGTTAAATGAGACTTTTTCATTCACTTTTCATTCTTAAATAGATCTAAAAATATAAGATGCAATTTCCTGTTTCTTGATGGGTAGTTAAACCAATGCCACTGGGTACATGTACTAAAAGATGAAAAAAGAATCTTTCTGAAAATCATGGAAAAACAGTAAACAGGTGAAATAGGAGGGTCTAGTCATTGAGTCCTTGATGACAAGGTACTTGTGGAGCCACCTATATGTAAACAAAAATCAATAAACTAAAATCCCAGTAAACAGGGGATGTACATGCCATCCCAGCAACAATAGGTTAACAGTATGTTGATAGTCTATTCAGTACAACTAAATTCTTTTCAAAGAGAGAGAACCACTCAATCTTACATCATTCTTAGCCAGAAGCATGCACCCCAGCTGATCAACAATTAGGGTATCGAGGATGGATGGTGGTCGACAGAAGCGCTGGAGGAGACATTGGTGCAGGATGGTTTCTGTGGTGCGGGGTGAGTCCTTCAGTGCCACTGCCACATGTCCCAATGCTACTACCACCGTATGAGAGATCACAATGTTGTCGCTGAAAGAGGTGTTGAAGTGTTGTTACTCAAACCAACCAAAATGTATGTCACTTCATAAAATAATAACCATCTCAAAAATCCAATCAAATGTTCAATACAAAATTTCCTCTAAATACATTACATTGTGGGGTTTTTTTCTTCCACATTACCTTTCAGGAAGACGATCATGTCCAGCCTTTTCCCTTCCAGATATGGAGGATATGAAGGCTAATACTGTGCTAGGGTCCACTGTTAAACCTGCCTTCAGAGCCACACACAGGTTCTCAATAGCAGCATCTCTCAGCTTCTCAAAGGCTGTGGCTGTGGCTGAGACTGGTCTGTTTGCCCCATCACCAGTTACTGGAAAGTTTGTGTTAGGTTTGTTATTTCATTTTATTTTATTCACTTACTGATGATACAGTTCTTGCTTTTTTTCTCAACTCAATCACTAAATGAAAAGAAAAAAAGAACACCCTAGCAATGGTATAAAATAGATCTCTTTAAAACAAAGATTAGGGACAGGCAAACCAGTATACACTTTAAAATCCTGAAACAGTAGCTAAAAACATCATCTGCTTTAGTGAAATTTTTAATCAATGATATTAGAAACTAAACAGCAAAGACATAAATAATACAATACCTTTGACAGTCAAATTGCCTTGCTGGGGAGTTAAGAAATCGGACTGCTGACGGTGCAGTTTGAGAAGAATTGGCGATGGACTGACAAGGAAGTCCTGCAGGTAATTTATGCTGGTCCCGGCAATATTTGGAAACTTGTTCGCTAGCTTTCCCAAACCCTAAAGGAAGAGGGTAAATCATTAGCATTAATGCCCTTAATGGCATGACAAGACAAAGCTCAAAATCCTAGCAACAAGATTCATGTTCTGCATCATACTGTCATTTACCAACTCTTTCCCTATGCTCCCTAATTTGGAATGACCACAGATAAATGACAAAGATGGTGACAGAGGCCATGGTTGGGACATACTGTATCACTAATTATGGCTTAAGCTGTAGAGGAGGAAGCTAAAAGTTGAGAAAAGGCACCTCACAGTCGAGAGAAAGACACTCCACTGTCTTCAATTTTACAAACAAATTTCCACATGCATTTTGGCTCCAACAAGACACTTTTAAAAAAAAACAATTCTGTCTCAATAATATTACATCTTAAAGAATATCTAATAATATACAAACCAAACCCAACTGAAAGCAAAGCTACATAGCACACAAAGTATCCCATTATCTCTTGCCTTAAAAAAAAGTATCGAGATCTACACCCCTTCCTCCAGTCCTGTTTACATACCTCTAAGCATACCAGAAGGAGTGGCATGTGAGCTAAAACCAGTCGATGGCCATGAGGAAGGTTGAGCTTTTCTGTCAGTCGATTACAGAGGCTCTCGGCATCTATGGAGGTGGGAGTTCAATTAGAAACCGCCAAAAACAGGGCATCAGAAAGAGAAAAAAAAAAAGGAAATCTGAATATAACATACTGAAAGCCATGTTTGTAATTTCAGGCTTTTTCTCTCTTTTGTTCACAAAAATAATGAATGCCTCCCAACAGCAAAACATTTTCATAAATATGCAAATATCTTGAACTTCAATATCTATTTTCAAAATTATATAACAAGAATACTTTTAACATTCATCAATGTGAAGAAAATCTGACAACATAATGCTCTAACTTTCAAGAAATGATTATTATAATAATACTAAATATAAATACAATACTCACAGCAGCACAAGAAATTCTAGCATCAAGCAGTCATCATTCAAATTTTATCAAGTCTGTTTCGCTTTTGTTAGGCATTAAATGGATTCACAATCGTTACTCATGTCCCACAATTTTAGATCAACATTTTCTTTCTTAAAATAGCTCATCATCATCAAAGTATTATGTTTCCAATAATGTGGAAAATTATAAAGTGATGCCCTTTTAAAATGCAAACATAACATTAAAAGACATTCACATTCAGTATGCTCAATGAAAATACGAGCCAATACCTATTTCCTCACCCTTTAACTTTCTATAAGGGATGAAAAAAATGTTATGAAAAATATGCAATTACATACATTATAGATTAAAACTAAAGGAGAGAATCCCTACTTTATTTGCCACATCTGAGATCAGCCAGAGTTAGTACAGTTCACAAAATTTCGTGGTTTTGACAATGATAGCCACTGGTCTGCAAAAATGGTAAGTAAAATAGGGATCCCATTTAGGAGCAAAAATCTCTTCTACAGAGTTGTCTTTCTAAACCAGTATCAATATATTCGGCTGGCCTTACTACAAGCCAATGAGAATATAAAAAGAAATTCTCAAAACGACTGAACTGGTCACCATCAGTTCCATAATGTATATTCAAATGGCCTGCTTCTAGTACAGAGATAACTTGATGTTTGTATAATGAGAAAAAAAAACTGAGGAATATCAGTGATGTGATAAAACATGTAAAACTAGGAAAGACTGAAAAAAAGAAACTTGTCACAAAATAATCTAAGAATATTAGTTCTGACATCCCATCACCCAAAAATAGACACTAACACTGACAAACATTAACTCTTTACCTCCCTTTATAATACCACCTAAAAAGATAGATAAAAACAAAAAAGCCATATCCTAACAGTTTTTATTGACCTAAGTATTATCATAAAATGTCTCTTGACTAAGAAACAACATTCTTTGGCTCGAACAAGTAGCCAAAGCTAAGTGCTCAGTGTACTCTTTACTACAACTCACTTGAAAGTCCAATCAATACAGCCTATTTCAGTTCATTTCAGTGTCCTACTGTGATACCTACAACACTGAATAATGTGTTTTCTCTATCAACCATAAAGTGTAAAATTACGAACAGGTGAAAAATGAAACTATGAAGCATACCTGTGCATCACATTAATCAAGAAACCCTATTGTATTTGCTGGATGAAATAAAATCACTTTTCAAAATGTTTTATGCAGAATAATATTTTAAAAAGCTCTTATAAAATACTGCCTGTTTAACTGAATCTCTGATTTTGCTTGTCATAAGTGCATAATCAAATTAATTCTGTATAATTTTATCAACAAAATGCAAATGCCAGATATGTTAGGCATCTTTAGATTTGAAATTAAAGAACACAGGTGTTAATCTATCAAATGCTGAAAAAATAATGTCTCAGGGGCTCATAAACTTTAATTTATCATGACTAACACTTGATATGTAAACTTTCTGTATATATATAAAAAAAATGTCTTCTGTTCTATGAAATATACACAGAAATTATTTTGTGTATAAAAAATATGCATCTTTGGGTATTTTTCCAAGCTTTACATAACAAGATGCATCTTCACTGTAATAAAATAACTTTTTACTCCCAAGAAGAGAACTGAATTTCATTACAAAAATGCTATATTTGTATTTAGATGTTTAC